TGGGCAAGCGAAGAGGGCCATCGGCGCGGCCTCTGAGGTCTCATATACAACCCAAAGTTCAGAATATGAAGACCAGTAGAACTTGTAATGCAACATCATATTACCTAGTAGATTGGTCTCATAGACTAGACGTAACATAGTAAAAGTAAATCCGGGAAACTCAAATGATTATGATATCGTTACATAAGATAGAAGGTTACTTAAGGAAAAAATAAAAGGAGAGTGGTTGGTTGGGATGGGTGGGTGGGTTTGGGCGGGTAACTACTTACTACTTTTTAGCTACTTCACAATTACTTAGCATGTTAGCTAACCCTTCACCTAACGCTTACCCTAACCTTAACCCTTTTAGCTAACCCTTCCCCTAACCCTAACCTTAACCCTTTAACCTAACTTCTAACCTTAACCCCTAACCTTACTGGCTACTGGTCAGGTGAGGTTGTGTTTCTCTAGCGGGAGGTAAGCTTGGCTTCTTATATGGTGTCGAGTAAAGCTTAAACCATGTATTTAGATTGTAGGTAGGTATTGTAGTTAGGCATTGTAGGTAGTTTATCTAGGTAGTTATTGTTGGTTATTGCAGGTAATTATTGTAGGTAAGTATTGTATTCGGCTGAGCCCGGTGAAGCACGAGGCTAGCTAACCCACTACCTGGACCAATAAAGCTAGCTAGCTAGCGGGTAGCTACTGGTAACTATTAGCAACTGTGGATAGTTGTTTCCAATGTTATTTCACGCTTAAGAGTACCTGTAATTATGCCAGCTAGCTACCTACCATTCAGCTGTTTTTCTAACCTCATTATCTGAAGCGTTAACGTTAGGTAGTTAGTAGCTACTGTACTCAAATGTAGCTAGCTTGTTGCTACCTGGATAGCTAACTAAACAATAGCTGGAACGACCTAGCTGTAATATTTGGAGATGCTTTCTCTCCGTTGGGACAGACACGAACTGGCTGAATCGATTCAGTGGCTAGCTTTGTACTTAACTGGCTAACAGTAGCTACTAAGGGTAAGTTATAACCTACATTTATTTTTGTTTTGTTTTTTACATACTGGTAACCAGAGTCGTTCAAGGGAATTCGGGACATGGGTGACTAGTTAACGTTAGCTTGGCTCTCTCTGTGTGTTTCGTGCCGTGGGAGGAGAGGTTGGTTCGTTGGCAGAGAGCAATGACTAGCTAGTATGCTAACTATTCTAGCTAACTAACTGGCTGAATAAGTTGACGACGTACTCACTCAAACTGTCAAAACTAACCCCAAACTTTACACAACGTTAGACACGGACACAAATGATCTGTTTGGCGTGTTAACACACTGGTGGTTTGTTGTAACCGAGTATTGGTGCTAAACCGTTTTATTGGAGGCTGGCATGCTAGTTGGCTATGGCTTCATAGGATTCGGTGCCCTGGACGGTTTTCACGGAAGAATACTGTACCAAGTTAGCTAGCTGAATAAACTAAGTTAGAGTCTATTCCTAGAAAACATTGAACCGCTTAAGTTCACAACAATTATAATTTCTAAAGTGGAAGTTGGGAGAGTTATATTTGAGTGTTTCAGTGAAACATAAGTGAGGGAGGCCCCGCTCTCTCGCTTTCCCAGATGTTTAGTTCATTTCATTCC